TCAGTTATTCGGCTATTGATTCCTTCTAGAGAATTTTTAATTTCATTTATTGTGTTGTTCATCATTGTTTGTTTGCTCTTTAGTTCTTCTAGGTCCTTGTTAAATGTTTCTTGTATTTTCTCCATTCTATTTCCAAGATTTTGGATCATCTTTACTATCATTACTCTGAATTCTTTTTCACATAGACTGCCTATTTCCTCTTCATTTGTTTGGTCTGGGGGGTTTTTACCTTGCTCCTTCATCTGCTGTGTGTTTCTCTGTCTTCTCATTTTGCTTAACTTACTATGTTTGGGGTCTCTGTTTCACAGGCTGCAGGTTCATAGTTCCCATTGTTTTTGTTGTCTGCCCCCAGTGGGTAAGCTTGGCTCAGTGGGTTGTGTAGGCTTCCTGGTGGAGGGTCCTGGTGCCTGTGTTCTGGTGGATGAGGCTGGATCTTGTCTTTCTGGTGGGCAGGACCAAGTCCGGTGGTGTGTTTTGGGGTGTCTGTGGCCTTATTATGATTTTAGGTAACCTCTTTGCTAATGGGTGGGTTTGTGTTCCCATCTTGCTAGTTGTTTGGCATGGGATGTCCAGCACTGTAGCTTGCTGGTCGTTGAGTGGAGCTGGGTCTTAGCGTTGAGATGGAGATCTCTGGGAGAGCTGTCGCCATTTGATATTACATGGGGCTGAGAGGTCTCTGGTGGACCAATGTCCTGAACTCGGCTCTCCCACCTCAGAGGCTCAGGCCTGACACCCGGCCAGAGAACCAAGACCTGTTTTTTAGGAATTCTGGGGTATTTTGTTCTTTGTTTTCTTTCTTTCAGGTATTTTTTTTTCTTACTTAGTTGCAGTGAAATTTCCAGGAATGAAACAATAGGCAGGTGAATGGTCTCCACTTCACAGCCAGGCATTTGTCAAGCTCTTGCTAGTTCTTGTTTCCCTGGTTTCCCTGAAAGGGAGAACCAGGAGGTGGTGCCGGGCTCTGTCCCTACTGCTTCCCCGTGAAGACCGGTGCTCACACGTCCTCTCACTGCCTCTGCTCTTGGAGGGGCAGCCTGTGAACACACGTCCCAGTCTGGGACATGTAGGGCTGTGGTACGGACCATCTGTGTATTTCTCACTCTGTCCCATCTGCCACAGATCGGCTGCTTCACCCTCTTCTGACAGCCTCAAATGCTTCCCTTCCAGTTATGAAGGGATCTTTATAGTCCTTTCTGGTGTCCAAGGTCTTCTGCTAGTTTTCAGCCGGTGTTCTGTGAGAACTGTTGCATCTATAGATGTATTCCTATGTGGAGAGAGATGAACTCCACGTCTACCTACTCCTCCGCCATCTTGAATATCAGTATCTTGAATAATATTAATTGTACATTTAGTTTTCAATTCTTTATTTGGATGAAATAAAAAGAGCACTTGCTAATTAAAATGCCAAGACACATGACACTGTAGAAATTCCTTGCTGCTGAATTATACCTGGACATTCTCCATAGACCTGACTCTTCTATGAACTGAGTGTTTCCAATGCTGGGCCTGGAATACTCAGCCTCTGAAATTTGCATTGGTTTGGAGCCTTCCTCTATGGCACAATCAACTGTAGCATTTCCTGAGGCCCCCAGGTGTAGCTGCATAATCACTGCTGCACCTTTGATTACAGATTTACTAACCATATGACCCTGAAGGTGCTGTATAACTTCTCTGAACCTTGTCTTCCTTGGTAGTACAATGAGATAATAATACTTTCAGAGTGTTGTGGGCTTTATTTGAAATAATTACACAGAAGCCTGTAGCACAATGCCCAATACATGAACGAATCCTCCCCAGTAGCTAATCCAAGAGGCCCACCATAGCCAACACCAATTCTTATCTATAGGTAAATTGTCTCGCTTTGGGAATTCCTAAGTACCTGTGCAGAATGGAGAAGGGACCCATCACCCATCACAAAACCCCCTCAATATCTCCAGCCACGTTCCAGAACTACCAACCATTTGTGGAGGCTCAGTCTTAAGCCAGTACTGGGAATCCTGAGTTTGTTGGGAAGCTGAGTACATCCACAGAGGATGGGACCCCCAGAAGGACCCCAAGGCTGGCATTCATGGCACAGATCTGAAGAGTAGTATAACATAACCCATTGAGTTCCATTTTAAATGACATGGGAACAATCATGTCAAATTGTTCTAGTCCCCCCTGGCAGGGATGGAGAGGAAGGGTGTCCTACAGAGATACATTCTTATTTCTGTGTATGGAAAATAGAATAAGAAAGAGAGAAATTACTGACCTATATAGGTGAATTCTCGAAAGTACCCACCTAAGTTTGATGTTCTTTTGATGATAAATAGCTCTTCAAAGAATGGAAAATTAAAAGAAATTGGAAAATAAGAGAAGGTTGAGGGGAAGTAAGCATTCGATTAGTCTGAACTCAATAGACTCGGGGCAGTTTTGCTCAGACGTGAAGTGGCCCAAAGCTATAGGGTCTACAAAGGGGAGAGAAGAGGATGCATTACCCAGCTTGAAGGTATCCCATTTATTTATTCAACGAACATTTCCTGAAGACCTAAAAATTCAAGGTGTTGAGATACTTAGGCAGGATAAAGGGCCCTCTTTGCTCTCAAGGAACCCCTAGGCCAGAGAAAGATCCAGATCTGTAAACAGATAAATTATAGAACAAAGTGTGCCAAACACTCTGCATTCTTTCTCTGGAACCTTTTCTATCTCTGTTATAGTAATTATCTCACTGTCTCCTGGGGATCGTTTATATATGGGTCACTCCCTCACAAGCCCACCCCCCATCCCCACTCTCAGCTGTAAGCTCCATGAGACTGGGGCTCTTGGCCTCCTGCTACGCCACCTGGTCATAAGTAAGTGCTCAGCAAATAGTCACCGAAAAAGGAGCATGACCACTTCTCTTGCCCTCCTCCTTATCACAATGGTCTCTTCCTCTGAAAATGCTCATTGTTTTTCTTTCTTGCTTTCTAACAAATATTCCATATTTTCTTCTGTGCTCAATCCCCATATCCCACCCTTCTCCCTCCTGTTTCTGCTTACTCCTGACTTATTCTTGCCATCACAACCTAGGGAAATCTGAAAATTAACTACATAATTTCTAATTGTTGCTCTTATCTTCCTGCTGTTGGATTTTCCCCATTGGGCTCCCTATAGCTTTATTCACATTACCACACCCTTTTCATCAAAAGTCAAGGAAGGGCCATGCCCCTGAGAGAGGGTCTGAACATTTAAACCGCTTCCAGGTCTTAGGAAAATGCCAAGTGGAGCCAACCTCCAACTCCATTAACTTCAGGAGAATTTTCCACCTGGGATCCATATTTAGATGACATTTGATGGTCACCCAAGGAAATTTGGGAAACTCTGGATTTTATACAATAAAATAGTTTTTCTCCTGCATAACTTGTCAGAGGCTTTCATAGGCAGACAGGCAGTATGAATCCCAAGAGTGGCATATAGGAAATATATTTCCCTCCCTGATTTGGCCATCTTTCTCTGACTTTTTGTGACCATCCCTACCATCTGCAGGAACCACAGCAAGAGTATCCACCGAGGCCCACATTTCACACGTCTAAATACATTAAAGCTATAGATATTTATAATGTTAAAAATTGAGCAACAGCCATGGCCTAGCTCGTGTTCTCAGCCTGGAGACTTCCCTGGATGGGCCAGCCATTGTGCACCTGAGTGGTAGCCTGGATTACTGGGGGCAGGGCAGGGGAGGTGGGCTGGCCCAGCTATCTTGGGCAGTAGCTAGACCCATCTAAACCTTGGACAGGACTGACTCTGTCCAGCTTCGCAGGCAGCCAGAGTAGGTAGAGTCTGCCTGCCCCGCACCCTGCCCCAGACTCTCCCCCTCCTCCCTAGTTCCTTCACCCTCACCCTGCTCTTTCCCTCAGCATTCCCAGACAGTTCTAAGTGCCTCCCCAAACTATCCCATCAGAACAGAGAGAAGGGAAGAAGCACAGTTATCGGGGAGCCTGGATTGCCTCAGCACCTACTCTGGGTGACAAGGGAGGCCAACTTTAAACACATCGGCCTCCCCACTTTTGCTGGTTTCCCAGGGACCAGCTGTGATTTCTCTTCCCCCCTCAGACCCTCTCAATCTCATTCATATTCCGTGGCCTGGATGCCCACTTTGGTTCATGCATCCTCCTCCCATTATTCCCGTTTACTTACTTGGTTCTCAAAATCACAAAAACCTTTTTTAAAAGACCAAACAAACCAAAGTCTGTGGGTTTGAATGTTTGTTTTGTGGGCCCTGATCAGGGACTCCCCTTGCCTGGATCTCTGGTGATGCTGGTGAACACTGGTGAGTTAAATGATCCCACTTTAGAGAAAACTGGGGTGGAAAAGCAATAATAGCAGTATAAAAGGTTAGTTCTGTAGCACAGCAAACACCACTTCTCACAAAATGCAGTTCTGCTGAAGTAAGCATTCCTATTTGCTTGGACCCGGGATCAGTATGCAGCATGAGTGTCTTATGCTTAGGAGCGTGAATACATTTAAGAAATCACTTCTAAGAGAAACAAAGCAAAAGCCTTCCCATGCCAGTGGCTAATTACTTCGCCTTTTCATTAGCTCCGAAAAGGTTCACAGAATCATACCAGCATATTGGAAGTAAACCAAAGAGGGACTAGGATTAAAAAGTGGTTTCTGGGCTTCCCTGGTGGCGCGGTGATTGGGAGTCCGCCTGCCGATGCAGGGGACGCGGGTTTGTACCCCGGTCCGGGAGGATCCCACATGCCGCGGAGCGGCTGGGCCCGTGAGCCATGGCCGCTGAGCCTGCGCGTCCGGAGCCTGTGCTCCGCAACGGGAGAGGCCACAACAGTGAGAGGCCCACGTACCGCGAAAAAAAAAAAAAAAAAGTGGTTTCTGCCAACAAAGAGCACCTTTAGATACGGGAAGGTTTCTGCTTCTGTGTGTCCATCACGGTGTCAAACCGTGAGCTAATCGTGCCCCTTGTCCTGGCCTGGCCTTGAGGACATGACTCAGTTCTGATCATGGTTTTATATTCTAAACAGTTGAAGTTGTGGGCTTGGGACCCGGAAGAGGAACGCAGGCGACAGGAAAAATGGCAACAGGAGCAGGAACGTTTGCTCCAGGTAGGACTGGGTGTGCTGCTTTTTATTTTTTTTCTTCTTTTTGGTGATGCTCTCTTAATTTCTGCTGTATTAAATAGATGTTCAGCCCAGGAAATACATGGAATCAGCTTCTTCTCAGAAGTCGTTGAGTCTAAGTCTGTTCATTTTGTGTCCATGAGACAGAATGCTCTGAGTCTAACACCTCCCACCAGAGGTTACACTGATGAACATAAGGAGAAAGCATTTCACTTAGAAAAAAATCCAAGTATTGATTAAGGGCCAACCCACCCACTCATCACCTTGTTTGCTGCCAATCAAATTCCAGTCCAACTAGGAGCGGGAAGGAATTATCAGAAGGTTATTGATAGCATACATGTGAAATAAAAGTTGACCTGGGTCTTCTTCCTTAAGTAGAAATGTTTGCTCCATCTTTGAGCAAAAGCTTCTGATTTTCAATTCTAGAAAAATTCTGGGAGTTAACTTATCATGCTCCTACTTGTTTCATCCCAGTTTTGTGGAGCTTCAAAAAGTAATCTAGTAACCTTAGAAACTAACCTATGCTGAGCATTTGGGGTGTGCCAGAACTGGCATATTTGTAGGTACTTGACATATTTTACTTAACTTCATTCTCATAAAACTCATCAAAGTATGTCTTATTGATCTCAGTTTGCAATTGAAGAAATTAAGGCTCAAAATAAGTTATATAGGTCTTCCCTGGTGGCGCAGTGGTTGAGAGTCCGCCTGCCGATGCAGGGGACACGGGTTCGTGCCCCGGTCCGGGAAGATCCCACATGCCACGGAGCGGCTGGGCCCGTGAGCCATGGCCGCTGAGCCTGTGCATCTGGAGCCTGTGCTCCGCAACAGGAGAGGCCACAACAGTGAGAGGTCCAGGTACCGCAAAAAAAAAAAAAAAAAAAAAAGTTATATAATTGCCCGAGGTCATACCTCTAACAAATGTTGAGCTTCGTTTCAAATCCAAGCTTGGGTGACTCTAAAACTCATGTTCTTTCCCCTATACTCCCAATGGTATTGATTTTACCAAAAGTCATAAAGAAAAAGAATGTTAAATCTCATTTATTTTTGTGACTTTCTGCTGATGCATAGAAAGCAATGCTTAATGCAAGTTTATTTTACTTTTTTTTCTTATCTTTTTGTTCTAATCCTTTGGCTTAATTCCCAGGGGTGGGGAGCAAAGGTCAGCTAGATAGTTAATTAATTGTAGTGTGGCTCTAGGTCTGCCCATTACGTTTGACACTTTTCAAAATTACATAGGAATAAACCTTCAATACCAAAATCTAGTTCTTAGTAAGAACTAGGTTCAGTAAAGTCCCAGAGCTGTTGGCACATTTAGGTCCATTGGGAGACCCCAGACCAGCCCTGGTCATCTGCTATTCTGTTGGAAGTCAGATGCCCATTCCACCAGGAGTCAGAAATTCCACAGAGTAAAGAAGATGGCCTGTGTTTCCCATGGTCTTGCTGTGTCTGTTATTCTTTGAAAGGTGACCGTGGTTTTAGGTGTGGGTTGTGGGCTTAGGGGCAAGGTGTTTATGGGGAAGGAAGGGTGTCGTGTGTGTGTGTGTGTGTGTGTGGACAGATATACCACATCTTTGGCCCCTGTATCGTCAGTTCATCCTCTTGGTGAGGGAAACATGTGATATAAGCTCCTAGAACCAATAAATTTAAGAAGCTTTGTTTGTTTTTCATCTTCTGTAAAGTTTTAAGGTCTGTTTCCTCTATTCTGAAGACCCTTGCAGTCCCTGTCTAAAACTTTACAATATTAGGTTTTATAACAAAATTTTTAGCCAAAGTTTAAAAGCCTACCATGGATTGACCACCAGTGGTTTGGCCAGAGCATTAATAGGAACATTAGGCTCCAGACAATCCCATAAAGCCCTTTTGCTCCTAAGATAATAACATAACAAGTAATACCTGGAGGAATTCTCAGTGTCTTCCCCAAGAAGATGGAAGCACAGACTCATGTTAGCCTCAGAGAGAGGACTGGCAGCAATCAGCCTAAGATATTAGACTGTGCGTAGTATACTCCAGCAACTCCTTTGTCTCTGTCATGCCAGGGATGCCATTCTCAAGGCATCCAGGGGTGTCAGTTCTCATCTTAAGCATTCGTTTTAATTTCCATGTATTCATTTCCTCTAGTCAGCTGTCAGGGACTCCAGTCACATTTTTAAAGCTCTCCTTATCCTTACATCCTTTTCCTATTCAGAGTATTTTTATTTTTTTCTCTGGAAGTGGTGACTAGTGTCCTATTTTTTTCTGAAAACAATAATAGCAGTTCTGATATCAAAGCCTTCTAATGGGCTGTTTAAAAGCTACTCTTAATTCAGGAGGACTTAAAGTTAGGAGGATTCCATTTTAGTAGAATGGCCACAAGCAAAGAGTAATTCAGCCACTCAGCTAGTTATCGTCCTGCCCACTTTGGACCTTTCTCCATCATCTATCTTGTAAACCGGCGAGGTTTTTTTTTTTTTTTAATCTTCTATTAAACTCTCCCAGCAGCAACGTATTTCTATTAGTGGAATGGCAAAACTCATCTCTGAAGGGCCCAGTAAAAGCAAACTATTGGTTTAACCTACCTCTGAGGACAAAACCCAAGTTAAGAAAGAGTTTAGAATCTTTCCATCTTTTCTCTTTCCATAAGCAAATGCCTACTCGTATATCTGAAGAACAATTCTATGAAACACCCACAGCAGAAAAGATTGTTCTCTGTTGGATCTTTATGTCCCTAACATGTCTGAGTACCACAGAATGGTATTCCCTTTTTGGTGCACGAATGGGTTAGCTTCAGAGCCTTACAGCAAGAAGAGAGTCTTGCAACACATTGTACGTGGTGGTTTAGCGGGGGGGAAAGTGCCAATGATGTATGCACTGGTCCGTTCAGAACAATCTATGGAAATTCCATAACAGGAGAGATACCGGAAGGAACAGGACAAGCTGAAGGAAGAGTGGGAAAAGGCCCAAAAGGAGGTGGAAGAGGAAGAGCGCAGATACTATGAGGAGGTAGGAAATTCCCCGGAAGGAATTTGACCCTGAAGCCCTGATTCCTCAGAGTCTATCAGCACTTTCTCTGTCTGTGCTGTGTGTACCCATGGGGCATGTCTGATCCTCTTTACTCACAACAGAGCCCTATCAACCTTTTAAAAGAGTCCTATCCTATAGGCTGTAAGAGACTACTACTCTTCCCAGTTTAGCTTGTGGTAAGCGTGTGTTGAGTCATGGCCAAGGGGGAGAATAGAATTGTATCTCTTCTTTAGTCACAAAGGTCAGATTCTTGATTTGTCTTAGATGACATGAAAGTATCAATTTGTTTATTTGTGTGTTTGTTTGAGGCAAGCATGTTTGGCAGTAGTGAATTAATATTAATTTTTATGAGGATAATTTTGATATCAATCAAGGCTAAGTGAATCCTTACTGCTGCATTCACTGTATGGTACTAAAGAGATTTAGAAGGGAGGAGAATTTGGTTTTGTTTGTTTCATTTTTAGATGAACAAACCAGACCACGTTTGAGAATTTGAAACTACACTTTATATATATTATCCAAAATCTGTTTATGATTAATATTGTTGTGAATTTGTTCTTCAACAATAATTTTTGTGCATAATACTTTCCCTAATAGCATTTCTAATTAGGCCTCTTGAATCACACTAATTAACTTGCAAAGACTCTGTTTTTCTAAATTAAATGCTCATTTCTAAATCATTGCCCATAGAGCATGTTATCTGATTTACATGCTTTTTAAAAGTAAGACCTTTTTTTATGCCCTGCTTGTTTACACATAATTCTGATGTTTGTCCCTAAATTTCTTTAATGACACTTTTCTCTTGACATATGATTTATCCTTTCTCCCCCTTTCATTAATTCCTGTCCTTCCCCTAGGAGCGCAAAATAATTGAGGACACTGTAGTTCCATTTACTATTTCTTCAAGTTCTGCAGACCAGCTGTCTACATCCTCCTCTGTGACTGAAGGCAGTGGGACAATGGTAAGACCATAGATTAAAAGGAATTCATGAAATAAGAAAACTAAAATAGAAGTACTAAACCACAAGGCCAAGTTTTCCACCAGTTTAAATCCAGGACTAGCTCTTTCTCTAGAATCATGTCAGCTACTACGTGGCCATTGTACCCCATCATACTGTCATTGCCGTGGTGAAACCCTAGAGTCAATCCCTGAGAGCAGTAAACATATTACTGAGGCCAGCCCTGCCCCCACAGGCTGGAAACGAAAGTCTCTGCACTGGTTGGCAAGACCCTGGTTAGTGATGCCACGTGCTGGAATGTCTTTCTAACTGCCCATCATTCATTCATTTAGCAGACGTATGTTTCTCTCTGCCAGACCATGCATCTCTTTGCACTGGAGGTTAGCAGTAGGATGCCAACAATACACTCTCACTGGCCTCCATGAAAGTTTCTTCTGAATCACTCTTAAAATTCCCCATGAATATATATATATGTGTGTGTCTTCAAGGTCTGGAGAGAGTCCAGAAAGGCTGGTCAACCTCCATATCCCCCAAATAAGGTCATGGAGGCAGTGGACATTGGTCATACCAACACCTGGATAGTCTATAATCTGCATTTTAGTTTTTGATGGTATAATAACAGAATAAATTCATTTTGCAAGAAACATAATATCACTTGGGTATATGTCATATTAGTCATTTCTGTAGTCAATTAATATATGCTGCAATACACTAAAATTTTTAAATTATCCAATTTTAACTTAATACAAATGAAGATTGTACAAAAGTAATTCACCAAATTTGATATTGCGTGGTCACTCAGGAAGCTCAGAGTATTGCTTATCTTTGCTGTTATATACAAAGATTATCACAAAAGCCAAGTCTTTCATGTCTCTTTCATATACTGCAATGATAATTATGAAAGATTTTCTAGACTCTAAAATAAGTTATTTATGTATCATCATCAAAGGAATTCTAAACTGTCCAACAATTTTTCAATATTTACCAGCCATTTTCAAATATCAAAATTTGAAGTGTATTGTTTTTTATTTCTATTTTATTTTTTTAACATCTTTATTGGAGTATAATTGCTTTACAGTGGTGTGTTAGTTTCTGCTTGTTTTTTACTTAAATTTTTAAAATTTAAATTAAAGATGAAAAATTTTTTATACAATTTTTAAAGGTTACACTACATAATCTGCATTTTGAAATAACCCACGGGCACTCAAATGCCACTTGTCCTGAAATAAGCAATCCTATGACTTTGTTTTATTCTGAAAGATGGGTTTTCTAGCCAGTTCCCTTTTATGATAACTTTTGAGAGAGATCCAGGTTACATGTTCATTTCAAATCATTGGAAATCAGTTACTATTCAGTTAATATATTTTTTTTTTTTTGCGGTACGTGGGCCTCTCACTGTTGTGGCCTCTCCCATTGTGGAGCACAGGCTCCAGACGCACAGGCTCAGTGGCCATGGCTCACGGGCCCAGCCGCTCCATGGCACGTGGGATCTTCCCGGACCGGGGCACGAACCCGTGTCCCCTGCATTAGCAGGCGGACTCTCAACCACTGCGCCACCAGGGAAGCCCTATTCAGTTAATTTGAACGACTGTTCTTTAAATTGTAGTCAGTGTGATTGAGAAAGTGCTTCAGATATTCCATGGCCAAACATGAGTATTGTCCAGTGTGTTTAAAAATTATATTCAAGATTATCCTTGTTTTCCCCATTAGAATAAGATGGACTTGGAAAACTGTCGAGAGGAAGAACAAAAGACAAGACAGAAGAAACCATTCCAGGGGGATAACAGTGGCTCATTGCTTAAGACTAAGGAAGGTGATCCACTGGAGGAAAAGGGCAGGTATGAGCCGTTCCAGGCTGTCCATCCATATGCACAAAGCTGGGCTGTGCCCCTTCACTCCCAGGAAGGGCACCCATCACTAATGCAAATCATATTCAGCTTTGAAATTATCATTCCAATAATACATTATGCGTATATTATTGCTTGAAGACATTCTAATGGCTCTCAAGTCAGTGTCCTTATACTATTGAATATAAATAGGTGAAACCTTTTTTTAAATGAGGGGAGACAGTATAGATCACCAAAGGAGCATGTTGTCAATTCAAAGTCCCAAACCTAAATACCACTCACCTGAAATGGTTAATGTATCTGGAGGGATAGAGTTTAAAATGGGGCTGTGGTGTGGTTATAGAGAACAGACTGGTAGTTGCCAAGGGGAAGGCGGTTGGGGGAGGGATGGAGTGGGTAGCTGGGGTTAGCAGATGTAAGCTATTATATAGAGAATGGATAAACAAGATCCTACTGTATAGCACAGAGAACCTATGATAAACCATAACGGAAAAGAATATTTTAAAAAAGAATGTATATGTGTGTGTGTGTGTGTGTGTGTGTGTGTATATACATATACATATGTATATATATATAAAACTGAAACACTTTGCTGTAAAACAGAAATTAACACAGCATTGTGAATCAACTATACTTAAATTTAAAAATATATTAAAACTAAAAACAAAGAAAGAAAAAAAATATTGTATCAATACTGATTCATTAACTGTAACCAAAGTACCATACTCACAGAAAACAACAGGGGAAACTGTGTACAGGGTAGATGGGAAGTCTCTGTACTATCTTTGCAATTTTTTTAAATAACTCTAAGACTGGTCCACAGAAATAAAGTTTATTTAAAAGAAGAAAAAAAAAATGAGGCCGTGGTGTCCTACTCACTGTGGACCTGAACTTTGCCATTAGTGTCCTCTGACCTGTGAGAAGCCATGTTTACTCTGGGTGATAATATAAAGGATAGCCAACAAACCCGTTGGTCATGGGTAATCCCCCTACCCCATGGGTTCCAGTATGTTCCATGGGAGATCAGAACAGGACACCCAGAAACTCCTGGAGCATTCAGAGCTAGCTCAGACTGGAGCAGAATCTGGTTGTAGGTACGGACTGTAGTGAGTTTATTGATGCGACCCCATGCCTGAGACCTAAAAGGGACCTGCAGAAACCCAAGAGGCTAGCAGTGCTCTGCCACCAGCAAGTTCTTTATGATACAAATGTTGGCCTTTGGGGCTCTGATATATCAGATAGATGTTGGAAAGCGTGCATGCATGTGTGTGTGTGCATACACACTTGGGTACACACACAGCCTCCTCAGAGGGACCCAAAGACACAAAAGGCTATCTAAGTATCATTTTCAAAGACTGGCCAATTTGAAAGGATGGGTGGGAGCTGAGCTCTTCTGGTGGGATTTGCACTGAGAATTCTCCTATGCTCATCAGCTAGGAGACTCGGTGAATTGTAAGATATTAGAGCTTGGGACCCACGTCCAGAGCCTGCAGAGCCCTTGGAACAGCTCATCTGTTTCCAGTTAACACTATTTAAAGAGACTTTCCAGTTTTTGAAATGAAAGCCACTAGTCAGGAATATTTGAAGGATGCTAATAAGCATTTTCCATGAATTACTGCTCGTTCTCCAGACAGTCCCTGTTGTCACCAGAAACCTTTAAAAAATCTCCTCCGTCTCTCCTTTCTTTGCACATAGAAGCTACTAAAGGACCAGTGAATTACCATAGGCTGCCAAAGCCCCATGTGGCCCAAATATTTTCCACAATAAGTCCTTTCTTGTGAAAATCTGGGAGATTGCATTTAGTTCTGGCACCCCCTGAAATGCTTAGAATGAAGAATTTTGTGGACAAGGAGGTAGAGAGGACATCAGAAATGATGGTTTGTTAAACTGCTGGGTAATGAACATGCGTAGCATTGAACAGTATTCTAAATCCATTTTAAATCTAGTTTAACATAAAAAGAATAAATATTTATTTAGCCCCATTTCTTTTTTCGTATCGTAATCGGTCCTGAGGGCTAAGATCAATAATTTTCGTTCAGTTGCTTTTATTCCTGTTCTGAAATATATTTGTTATTTTAACAGCTTAACTCAAGGAGTCTTGACTCATTCTGAGAACCCTGCATTGAAAGGAATATATCAGGACCTCCAGCTGGATACAGAAGCTGGGGCCTCACCCTGTGGGATGAACCCACAGCTAGCTCAGGGTAAGAATGGAGAAAACCAACCCCCGTGTTTCAATTATTGTAAGACCCCTTCCCCACCCCATCGTCCAGACAGATATGACCTCTGCTGGCTGCAAGCTTCTCTTCCAGCTTATGCTAAACAGCACAGTCCGGAGGCCCCATGAAATCACTGTGAGACCTCAGCAGGCATTAGCACTTTAGAGAAATGTGATTACTAAGCACTAAGGCGGCAGCTTTACTGAGCACTAAGTGTATGTTCTTTACTTGGCCTCAGATCCATCCCAGAATCAGCAGGTATCAAACCCACCAATGCACATTTTAGAAGATGTGAAGCCAAAAACCCTCCCATTGGACAAAAGCATTAATCATCAGATTGAGTCTCCGAGTGAAAGGCGGAAGTGAGTAACCAAATAAGATGGGTGTGGAATTTCTTTTTTATTTTAATTGACTAAGAACGGGGAAAAGTGAAAAAGTGTGAGATGGCTAGATGTTAGCAGCATTTTTGTGCTTTTGTTCCATTGACTGTCATTGACAAGGTAACAAATATTTATGGCAGTTTGGAACAATCTTGCTGGCAAGTAAATATTTAGTCTGAATTTGGCAACTTAAAAGAAACAAAGTATGTTTTTAACCCACAAATCTAAACATTGGAAAGAATGTGCAGGTCTGTTGTATTAGCAGTTTATTTAAGTGAGTTAAATTGTCTCAGAGCCTATGGACAAATGTTCTTTCAAGGAAAAAATGTTTCCTCTCGTCATCATTCTCTCCCCTTAACTAACTACCCCAGGCTCTATTCTAATTTTGTAACAATTGTGTTTTTTATAGTAATAATAGTTCGCATCATTTTTGAAACATGTCAATATAATAGGCACCGTGTTGAAGGGTTTACATATATCTTTCTCCTCTTCTTTTCATATATTAACTCACTGAACTCTCCCAATAACGTTATTGGGTTATTGTTCCCATTTTACAGATGAGGAAATTGAGGCTCAGAGATATTAAATAACTTATCCAAAGTACTTGTCTGGATGAGTGGTAGAGGGATTCATAGTAAACCCACAGTTCCATGATAAGATCATTTGAGCCAGAGGTTCCTTGTAATCAGTTTTAAAAAGATAATATTCATTATACTTTAACCAATCATTCTACCTGGAGCCAGACTACCTGGATTCAAAATATTGACTCTGACACTTGCCTGCGTGGAACTTTGACCAAGATACTTAATCTTTCTCTGTTCCAGTTTCTTCGTGTATAAAATGGGAACAATAGTAGTGCCTACTTCATAGGGTTTTGTGCCTGGCAAGTAATAAGTACTATACATTGTAGACAATGGTGTTGATAATGACAGTGATGGTGATGATGATGATAACTTGTTTTATAAGTTCATCCTTTTATCTTATTTTTCTTGTTACATTTTTTCTCAGTACACTTTTGAACCATTTCCCCCTTTTCTCTTATGTCTATCCAATTTCATTTCTCTATGTCTAGATGACATGGAGAATTAATAGAAGGTTAAAATCACATAGAAGGAGTCGTTATTTTTATTGATCATTGTGGTGATTTTCAACCATTTTTCAAGGTGATGGTCCTTATACTTTAGGATATTCCATGAAAAGCTGATATTTTGGAGAAGACAAGCTCTGTCTGAGGAGGGAGGTTTGCGGGGGCAGGGGCTCAGGGAGTTATTCTGAAAGCAGTTACAAGACAGATGGCCTCACGCTCTGTTCATGTCTATGCTGGCATTTCTCTTTTCCTTGTTCTTTTCTGTCCCTTTCTTTACCAGTGAAATTACCTTTTTTTTTTTTTTTTGCATTACGCGGGCCTCTCACTGTTGTGGCCTCTCCCGTTGGGGAGCACAGGCTCCGGACACACAGGCTCAGTGGCCATGGCTCACGGGCCCAGCTGCTCCGCAGCATGTGGGATCCTCCCGGACTGGGGCACGAACCCGTGTCCCCTGCATCGGCAGGCGGACTCTCAACCACTGCACCACCAGAGAAGCCCCTGAAATTAAGTTTTAAAATCAAGAGCCCGGAACTGACAGCTTAATCACAGGCAGGGCTCACGTGTAACCAACAGCACCCGTAAAACCATTCTGGGGGCTTCTGGCTGGGAACCATTCTGCTTTGTAGATGCCCAATCACATAGCAGTCGTTAGATGTTTTGAACATCATCCCTAATCATGTAACGAATTTATGAATAGGGGTGGAAGGCACCTCACTGAAAAATACCTCGTTTAAGCGCTGCCCTTTATTTCTGGGCTCTCTTTAAGAACTTTTCCCTACACCCCTGTTCATCTCTCCCCTCCCACCCTGTCCGTAATTTTTATATCTAACTTGGAGTGCAACTTTAACTAGCAAAGAGCCTGACCAAAATAAAGAATAGAAAACTATTCTGTCTTTCCATTCAACAATGCCAGCCTGGTTTTGATATCAGACATCCAATGTCTGTACCGTCTACTAGATGGAAATTTTTTTGTCCTTTGTAAAAAAAAAAAAAGTGACCCCTAGGACACACTGTGGTCTTTTATTTGGTTGCCAAGGAAGTGGGGTGTTTTTTTTCCTTGTCTAAAAAGCCTTTCCTTGTGGGATTGGACTTCTCCTTACTTGACGTGATGTTTGGCTCCTTTCCCATGTTACAGGAAAAGCCCTCGCGAGAACTTCCAGGCTGGGCACTTGTCCCCCTGCTCCTCCACCCCTCCTGGCCAGTCACCAAACAGGTACAAGAGGTCAGCAAGCCTTTCTGAGGCTGCTTTGTTTGGGCTAGAGCCTGCTGAGCACATCGCAACCAAATCAGTGCTTGCCCGAGGATTGCGAGGGATTTGTCCATCCGTGTCTCTTCCTACACACACACATAGGCGGGAGGAAAGAACACATCCCCATCTGCCTAAAGATTTTATCAGCCCACAGTCGAAAGAGCCAAGTGTGTGACGTTGGCACGGCTGTGGCCATAGGGCTTTAATTACATTGTGCAGAACCTGCAATCTAATAAGAAAATCCACCAGACAATTGCCGGGCTCCTAAGTCGGCGCCTTTCCCTCCAAGACGGCTCAGACCTTCTAGGCAGGATCCGCTGATGGCTCTTACAGTGAACCAGGCGGGCGCTGAGAAATGAAACTTCATCCTCCCTTTTACTCTACTCGAGCTCTCTAATGATTGCTTCTGGACATTAATTAGGCCCCATGATATTCTTAAAAGCTGCCTGAGCTCCCATTCCCTGGAGAGACAAATGACTGAGTACTCCAAGGTTTTCTTTGATTTAGAAATTTCATTTAACTACTGGATAAGAGGGAAATCCTAATAAATAGAGTTTGCTAAGGGCAACTCTTCCTTTTTTCTCTTGTCTTTCTGTTTCTTCTGTCCCTCTCTTTGCTTCCAAATGATATTGCATATTTTAAAATTTCTTGTGTAATTCCAAGAGCTTTCCCGACAATCGGCATCATTGCAATCCGATCTTAGCTGAGGGAAAGCTGCCTTAGAGCACAGCCATCCTGTCTGAGCCAGGTGGATTGGAAACCCAATGTGAGTTCTTCATACCGGATCACAGAACTTGGTATCAGAGCAGGGATTTGATCCCACATCTGCCTGATACCTGTTAGGCTGTATCACAATTTCCTCTTTATTTTTAAACAACAACAACAAAAAATTTTAATAAGTAAAAAGAAATGCCCTAGTGGGCCAATGAACCAATTATAGAAAAATTTAACACAACATTAAAACCTTAATAAAGCTAAACTTGACTGTCTTTTAGGACGTAAGAAAACATATGATAAATACATTAAATCATCTCAAGGCATCTGATCACTGTGGTTGAATAGACTACAACGCAAACTTTTTATAACAACTAACACACACACCTACACGCACACACACACACACACACACACAGAATTCCATGCCACAGTGGAGGCCTATTGTATTTAATCTATCAATTGTCTGCATCTTATACCTAATTCCTACTCATTATCAGTTCAGTAATTGTTTCACTTACGGTAAAAACATTTTTAAAACTCATGTTTTACTTATTTATTTTTTTTTTTTGCGTGAGGCTCCATATTAGTGTGTTTGACCAATGATTCTAAACGGAACATTTTATTATGACATATATTTTGCAACTTAGGTCTATAAGTGGGAAGAAGCTGTGCTCTTCGTGTGGGCTTCCATTGGGTAAAGGAGCTGCAATGATCATCGAGACCCTCAATCTCTATTTTCACATCCAGTGCTTTAGGGTATGTATTCATCTCTCTTCTGCCTAAGTACAGTCTCATAATGTCTTTTGGCCTCGTTCTGTGCTGAGTGACTGCCTCCTGGAAATCCTGACAGCCTTTGCTTGTGAGGGCCCCCTGACTCTAGGTTGTACAGAAGTGTGCGTGGAGTCCATCCTTCAGGATGAAACTATCACACATCCCTCTGGGATGTCGGGTTAGAGGAGGCAAAACAGATTTGTGCAACGTGTCTTTATAAAACCATTTTTCGTTGCTAAAGAGCATATACTTTAGCAGGAAGCTGAGAAAGCCACCCTGGAGGACGATGATGCTTCTGAATCTTTTAAGGCCAGATGGATTTATTTGGAATGTCACATCTTTGATGCTTCTCAAACTCTTGAGACTCAATTCAAAGATTTTGGGTCTTTGACTTAATGGAAGATTGTCAATTAAGTGGTTACAGCTAGTTGCTAACTTGTAGGTCTCCAAACGAGTATGTCTGCAGCCACAGACTGAATATCACTTCCTTGGAGAAGCTGACCTGCTTACCACACTAAGTCAAGTTGCCTTTGTTACAGGTCCTTATAGAACCTTTCGTGGTCCTTATCACTCACTATTGAATTGTTTAATTATCATCTGCTCTCTACAAGCTCCGTAAGGGCAGGCACCACGTCTGTCTGGCTCACCACTATATCCTCTGCACCCAGTGAAGATGGTATCAATAAATATTTTTAGATGAATGAATTAATAAATAACTGAAAATGAGGAGGACTAAATTCTAGTCCCAAATCTCCTGCCAACAAGCAGGTGAACGAACCACTTATGCCTGATTTATTATAATATTTACAGGTCAGACTATATCAGCATTTCCTTTTTTCACCCATGGACATGTTTCAGATAATATATAATTTTGAAGCCAAACTCTATCTCTGAAAAAGAATCATTTCTTTCTCTTTATAACCCTAACATGCTTTCTGTGTCCTTCTTGGATTTGTCCCGTTTCTCATTAGTAGCCCCCTCAGCTATAAAGTAAACTTGCATGGGTTTAAAATAACTTCTACTTTACCTATAAGCTAAGAGAAAGTGAGTGAGGTTGTCCCAAAGTTATTAATTTAATAATGTCAGTAATCACTGGAAAGCAAAACTGATGGACAAAATGCAATATGGATACTTAATTAGACTCCATTTATCAATATTCTTATTGTAAAATTGACATAGGTAATGTATATCCTAAATTGTCTGGGAATGTTTGGAGGCTATACGCTATTTTTTTTTTTTTTGGCCACGCTGTGTGTCATGTGGGATCTTAGTTCCCTGACCAGGGATCGAACCCCTGCCCCCTGCATTGGAAGCATGGAGTCTTAACCGCTGGACTGCCAGGGAAGTCCCTGGAGGCTTCATACTTTTAAAAAATTCATACTAATGCCAAGATAATATGTTCCAACACCACAGTTTATTCTCAGAAACGTTACCAGAACTCAGAATAATCAAGGTGGCTACGAGTCTTTGCAGATTCTCAGCAGATAGGGGACTTGTCTTCTTAGCTGTCAAGGCCTTTATTCTCTCTAGTCACTCACTTCCTGGAGCTGGCCTGATGCTTTAAGGTACATCACCGCTTAAATTTATCCCCTACCCTTCTGTGTAGATGCAGCTTGTAACATAATTTGGATGAAACCTCCCTCTACCTGAGATGGCCTTAGAGCATCAGTCTGGGGCTGGCCCTTGTTTCCTGGGCTGGGTCAAGATCCCCCTGCAGTAGGCTGGCATGTTCTCTGATTCAGCCAGTACAGTGTACCCCACAGTCTCTTTCTGCTCTCAGGCTGACTTGGTATCACTGCCTTTAACGTGGAAACATAAAGTGGAATAGCTATTTCCCAGTCATTCTGGTCGGGTAGAACTTACCAACAACGCTAAAAAGCATTTGAAGATTATTCAGAGACAAGTTTCAATATATATTGATCATTCCTTGGCCATGTGTTTATTTAAAACCACTAGGATTTAACTTGTTTAAAACGGTTCTTCCATCTTGATTGAGAATTGGTGTGCATAGGCTTTGGGATCAACCTGATACCACTTACCAACTTCACAACCTTGGACGAGTCAGCTAACTTCTCTGAACTGGTGTCCTTCTCTGAAAAATGCCAGGAGTTAGGATAAAATGCTGAAAGTATATTGTTGCTGGAAGTCAAGTCGTGGTGCAGCATCGAATACATAGTAGATATTCAACAAATGTGGAGGTTGGAGAAGTGATTACTGTACTATTCATGTGAACAATAACTAAACATTATAAGGAAACAATTCCTTACGCACCTTATAACCTTCTGTTCTTTCTACCCAATAGTGTGGAATTTGTAAAGGACAGCTTGGAGACGCAGTGAGTGGGACGGATGTTAGGATTCGAAATGGTCTTCTAAACTGTAATGACTGCTACATGCGATCCAGAAGTAAGTCCTGAGGGGAAATACCTTGAGATGAATGAGTGCAACCATATATGCCTTTCATAGACCTAGCTTAGGAATTCAGCTACTCTCCATCAGTTGATACTCCTACACTGAAGGAAAGATACATTAGCATCCAGGTAAAAGAAATGATAATGAAATAATCCCGTATTTACCACTTGTTTCTTACTGGAAGTTACTGCTATAACATGGACTAATTCTTTTTATCCAGAAGTGCATTAATACGCCAGCAGGTAAAAATGTAAACCAAGTTTGAGACATTGCCTGAGCTCACCATAGAGATTTCAGTGAGATGCAGGGATGCTATAAAGTCTGAAACTATCTATTTGTTGAGGCATCTCTTTAGAAGACCAGTCGCATTTGGAGGGTGTTTCACATATGAAGAAGAGCTCTCCACTGCTCATCAACACAAGCACCAACTCCTCAATATCTACATTCATGGCATAATGTGGGCTTGTTCCCAACTAAACTGAAAATTCTTTGAGAGACAAATGGTGTGTTCTACTTCTCTGTGAATCCCTGCCCCCTCCAAAATACCTTAGTACATACTAATCAGAGAAGCCCCCTTGAGGAGCCTGCCCTGGCATCTCATGTCTGGGTCTCCTGCCACAGAAAGTTAATGTTATTTGGGGGGGACCACCAGGGGGTGCTGTTGCCCAGCTGCTGTTTATAAAATCTGAAACTAGCCAGTGGCTAGCCTCTGAATCCTTCCTCACTCTCCATCCTAAGTATAATCCTTCTGGTGCATGACCTAGACAGCAGGTAATTCTTCTATGCAAATTCGTCAGTCAAAAACTCTTTTTAAAAAAAAAATATGAGCGAAGATCTGGTATTTGAAATTCAAGAATTTTTTATTATTTCTCAAAGTAAGTGAAGTGGCATTTTTGTTGCTGTTTTTTTTGTTTGTTTGTTTGTTTTTATGGTACGCGGGCCTCTCACTGTTGTGGCCTCTCCCGTTGCGGAGCACAGGCTCCGGATGCGCAGGCTCAGCGGCCATGTCTCACGGGCCCAGCCGCTCTGCGTCATGTGGGATCTTCCCGGACCGGGGCACGAACCCGTGTCCCCTGCATCGGCAGGCGGACTCTCAACCACTGCGCCACCAAGGAAGCCCTGAAGTGGCATTTTTACAGTCTTTTCATGTAGGTTTCTAAATCTGCAAGACTGAAGATTTTAAGAGTGAAAATTGAAATTAAGTTGTTTTATTGCTATAGATTTTGTAAATTCAGAGAAATATATGCCTATTTTAACAAAATGATGGGAAGTAAAAATTAAACCCAGGTGGTTTTGATCTATGATAAACATTTGACTTGAGGTCAAAACGGTTCCAACTTAGAGCTGCTGCCATCAACCTGGACTATTTTATATGTATTTTATATACAAAATATTGATATTAATTTTTATACTATGTATTATACATATAAAATATGGGATAATAGTATACCATATATACACCATAAATATATATACAGGTATATACAAATATATATATACATGTATAATATATAATAATTATATTTTACTTAAACTATATTTGTATTTGTTTGTTTTGGTTTTTTGTTTGGGTTTTTTCTTCTTTATCCCTCCCGCCCGCCCTATCCCACCCCTCTAGATGGTCACAAAGCACCGAGCTGATCTCCCTGTGCTATGTGGCTGCTTTGCACTAGCTATCTATTTTATTTATTTATTTATTTTTAATTTATTGGAGTATAGTTGATTTACAATGTTGTGTTAGTTTCAGGTGTACAGCAAAGTGAATCAGTTATAGATATACATGTACCCAACATTTTTGGCAAATTAAAAAAAATGATAATGTTAGGAGAAATTGGGAGCTTCCTCTTTTTCTTTTTCTTTTTTTTTTACTTTTGAAGAAGAATATTCTTTGATTTTCTCTTCTTGTGCCAATGCTCTTCTCTTTATTTAATTTTTGAATTTTATTTTACTTATTTTTTTATATAGAACGTTCTTATTAGTCATTAAAAAGGAAAACTAACCCCTTTTGTCTCAGGATTCAAAGTGATTTTTTTTCCTATCATCTAACATAAATTGGAGTTTTCCCTGTAACCTCAATGACCTGCTGAATGTGAGTCATGGAACCAGAAGAGGGCGCTGTTAGGTTGATGGCCTCTTGAACCAGATTTGAAAAGTGCTGTAAATCTGAATTTCTTTCATAATTTGAAGTGCTTGAAGAATGCCAGCAGAGAACAAACCTGAACTCACCTCTGGATAACAGTGACCTGCTTTCATCCAGATTTTCATCTTAATTGAGAAGCTGGGTGTTTCGTTGTCATTTCTTTGGAAATTAGCTTTTCAGATCTAGGCCAGCAATTTTTCTGTTGTGTATACAAATATAAAGGCCACTAACTGCTTTTGATTCCAAATCTAAAGACAAGAACCATAGAGTTCCTGTAATTGTCCTGTAAGATGAAAAATAAGGTGATTGGAGGTAGATTAAAGATATGGTTTTTTCTTTAATGTTTTTGATGCGATATTTTACTAGGATGTTTTTTAGAATACTAAGGTACTAAGAAGAAAGCAAAAAGGCTCATTATCTCTCTGTCTAGATAACCAATATCAATATTCAAAAGAATAAATAAATAGAAGTCATAAGTAGTAAAAGGTTAGAAAAATTAGATTGTTTAGAAAGATACCAAATTAAAAGTGAACCTCTTCAACCTTAACCACGTAATCACTTTCTAATAAGTTCTTGGGGAGAGGGGCAGAATGTATGTTTGTATACACGCACATGCGTGCGCACACACACACACACAGATGCATATGTGTGTGACACATCTACCTGTATTGGTTCTTATTTCACAAAGGTAATGACATAGCCACAGTGGTACTTAGTTTTTGTTGCTGTTGTTTTTCACCTAATGATATATCTTGGGAATTTTTCCATATAGCATTTTCTTTCTCCTCGTTCTTTTTAATGGCTCTTTAATAACTGCATACAATCCCATTGTGTGGACTTAACCATAATTTAAAACTAATGCTCTATGAATGAGTGCTCCAGTTATTTCTAGTTTTTTATTATTATTTTTTAAATGCTCCAGTGAACATCCTTGTATGTATGTCTTGATGAACATTTGAAAGCATTTTCACAGGGTAGCTTCTGAGCAGTGGTACTGCTGAATAAAAAGGCATGTGCTTTTTAAATTTTCAGGCAACTTGCCTAATTATCTTCCAGAAAAGTGTATGCTCCCTGCAAAGTATATAAGAGAGCCTCTTTCTCTCTCCATGCCTATGTCAGCTCTGGATATCATCAAACTTTTAAAATTTCCACTCTGCTAAGTGGGGAGGAAAAAAAAAAAGAAAAAAAAAACCTCTTTGCTTTGATCTGTAGTCTTTAACTATAAATGAGTTTAAACATCTTTTCATATGTTTGTTCACCATTTATATTTCTTTGTCTATTGACATTTATATTTCTTTATCTTTTGCCCATTGTTCTATTGGCAGTTGATTTTTACGAGTTCTTTGTAAATTAAGGAAAATTTCCCTTTATTTTATATTTGCTGCTTTGGGCAGTTATCATTGGTCTTTCTACTTTGTGATTTTTTTTTCATAGAAAAGGTTTTCATTTTAAATAGTTAAACATATCTCTTTTTTTCCTTTTTGGATTCGGGGTTTTGTGTCCTCCTTAGAAAAACTCTCACTATTCCAAGGGTATAAATAAATTGAGCTGAGATTTCTCCTAGAATTATTTTCTGGGTTTTTTTGGCATGTAAACATGTGATAATCAGAAATGTATTTGGGGACAAGAAATAAGATAAATACTAGCTTTATTTTTTTTCCAATTAGCCAATTGTATGTCTATAACTTAATGAATAATCCCATTTTTTCTTGTTAATTTGAAATACCAGCTTTCTCTTAAACTAAGTTCCCATATATATTTGGGTCTTCTTCTGGATATTTTATTATGTTTTATTAACCTATTTATTCTCTAGTATCAGGTTTAATTATTATAGCTTTATATTATGTTTCAATATTGAAGCAGAGAATGTCTACCTTCTCTCCAATTATTTTTTCCGAGTTTTCCTAACTCTCATGTTTATTTTTCCAGATAAATGTTAATATCATTTTAGGCTAAACTTTAATTAAGTCAACACATGACAGGGAGAATGACCAGTACATCTGAGAATACTGCTCATTTTTCTTGGTGTCATAAGGAAAAACTATATCTTCAGAGTGAATAGATGGAAAGGCTAATAATTGGCTAGAGAAATACACTTGAATCGGTTGAATATACCCCAAATGCATAAAAGAGTCAGAATGGGAAAAATGGCTAAAATTGTTTTTTTCTTTTTTTTTTCTTTTGATCTAAGTTGAGAAGAGGGGAGAAGGATAGATGTGAGGGGTGGTTTACATCATAAGCATTCTAAGTGAAACAAAATAATTTCATTGTGTAGAATAATAAAACCTGAATATATAAGCCTATTTTCTTTAAGTAAGTAGCCACATTTAAATGAAATTTTTCTCTTGGAGGGGAAAAAGAGCATAGCGGCATATTAAAATGCAATTCCTAAAAGCAATGTAAACCGTTTTTAAGTTCGTATGTAAATGGAAATAGAAGTGCAAAACAAATTACCTGTCATGGATCAAGCCATCACATGTTTAACTGGTACCATTTGTGCTTGGGTGTTAGATGACCACGTCTTTGTGTCTGTTCCATCATTCACTCTTGTGATATGCATTTAACGCAAAATCCCTGGGGTCTTTTCCAATATTGCGATTGCCTCATCACAACTCTAGTGCCTAAAATGAAGGAGAAACTTTGTGAAGGCTTCAGCAGGAAATATGGGACCCAAACCATCCTTCCTAGATAGGTTTGCCAGATAAAATACAAGATGCCCCGTTAAATGTTTTTGAATTTCAGATAACAGTGAATTTTTTTTAGTATGTGTGTCCCAAACATCACCTGCTCAGGATGTAGCACAAGTATATCCCAAATATCCCATGGGATGTATACTAAAAAATGTATCTGTTGTTTATCTAAAATTCAAATTTTGTTGGATGTTCTGTATTTTATTTGCTAAATCTAACAATCCTTATATCTAGATCATATGTCAGATTCCTCCTCTTGCAATGTATTTATTCTTAGAGAAACCACAACCTAGAGAAACTGAAAGAAGAGAGATTATTTTCTTGCTTATTTGCCCCAGAAGACAAGGTAGAAAACTTGGTGGAGATCATTTGTTTTAGGGTGAAATCCAGAGGACTGAATTCAACCAAACTTGACAGGGCACATGAATCACCTTGTTCAGTTCTGGGACGGGGCTCGAAAGTCTGCATTTCTAACAAGCTCCAGGTGATGCCAGTATGGCTGGTCCCTGGACCACACTTTGAGTAGCATAGTGGGACAAGTTTCCCCTCCCTGGAGGGAAGAGACTTCGGCAAAGGGTATTGCTAATTTTGGAAATGTTTGAACATCTGAAGCCAGAATGGTTGACTACTTTAACCAAATGTTGCTCTGTGTTCTTTGTCCCAGGTGCTGGCCAACCCACAACATTGTGACGTGGTTTTCAACCTTCCGGATCACTCACCATTTCCTTACTGAGGGTGTCCCCTGGCAATCGTTTAACAAAACCCTAAGTGCAGGGGCTCTTCAGCATTCATCTAATTTCTGAAAGGCTATTCTAAAAGATGGTATCTGTTGTTTTGTAGCACAGTGTTTGTGTTTTTCCTGCTTTCCTTTTTTTTTTTTTTTTTTGGCATTTGCACAGTATATACAAAAGAATATTGAATTGTAACGATATTGAATAGTTCCAAAAAAAGGTCTTAGCATGGTCAAACAGGCTTACAGTTTAAAATGTGTTATTCTCTTCTTTGGGAGTTAATGAGATAAATGATGCAATAAACCTGGGGATTTTTTAGCATTTCTAGGAATTAAAAACTTTGTGTTTACAGAATTGAGCTGCAGAAAATGCAGGACATGCCAATTTGAGACATGTGGTCTTCTGAGACAGGAGCATACAGTTAATGCATTTCAGAAACTAAAAATCAGACCATCTAGCTCTGAGTTATAACTTGTTTTTAATGCAAAGATGCTAGTCTGATAATATATACTGTAATCCTGAAACATTTGTGTTACTTACTTTTTGAGGTGGAAGTCATACCAATAAATTATTGCACCGTTAGTGTTAGATTCTGTGTCCTTTGGAAGTTATGCCATTGCTGTAGGCTGACCCATCACATAGAGAGAACCCTTGCTATATGGGCTAGGCTTACACTCTGGGACATTGCCCAAGGGTAGGAAGAAACCAGAGGGACATAATTCAGTCATCATTACCAAAATCTGTGAGGAAGTTTAATCTTCCAAAGAGTGGTGAGTCAATGATAGCCAGGAGGGCTTTGTTGCTTGCTTCTCTTCAGGCTCTAGATTCAATAAGAGGCTCAGTGTGGGACATATGGAAGCTCTCACTGAGATCAGCCCATCATTAGGTGTGACCACCACTCACCCTTGCCTGCAAGTTCTCCTTGGGGGTCTGAAGCCCAGGTGGCTAAAGTAAAGCATTAAGTCCATCTTAATAGAATCTGAATGACATATGATGTGAGAAGCCACTAGCACGTGATCGACAAGAACCTACTGTTCACATCGTGCCCTGTCCACCCTCCTGGATACCTACCTGCTCTCCTCACGCCCTACATCACCAACTCTCTTTACTACCAAGAATACTGGACCTTGCTCATGGAGAAGTTTAGCGAGAAACTCTTGCGGAGAGCTGGTTTATTTTTTGCCCTGTGTGATGAATTTCATCTGGCCAAGAAAGGAATCAAGTTACTAAAAAGCATCACATTTTAGATCTCCAGGCAGTTTTCTTTAAGACTGGGGAAAGGGGGACTATTTATTCTGCCTTAAAATGATGGCAAATAAGTGATGATGACAGATGACATTTTGTGAATGTAGACTCCGGATATACTCCTAATAGGTTAATGTAGTCATAAAAAGAAATCAAGTAGATGTTTTTCTGTTATGTAAGCAATAATTTTTTTTCTGTGTCTTATTGAATATGACTAGCAATTATTTATTTACATGCTAGACGGTTCTCTGCATGCGGGTTCCATGTAAGTACAGAAATTTCCTCAGCCACTGGAGGTATCTTGACCATTTTGTCATTTGGATGAGCTGTTGTTAGATTGAAATTTACACATCATCTCATTTAAAATTGTGCCTTAGAAAATGCAAAGCTGTTACACATAGTCAGTGATGAATTAAGGATGCAGTACATTGAAGAGAGATGAAGTCCCCTCCAAGTTCTCAAGACTTCTCGTGGAGGTGTTCGCTGTTTTACGGGAGGAAAAAAATTTAAAAAAAGAAAAAGAAAAATAGAAAAACTAAAAAAAAGTACGTTTTGAACATGTACAGATTAAGTCCAATATTTTGATTAACCACCTGCATGTTTTATTAAATATTTTGATAATGTGGATGTTTACACTTTGCATGATCCTAGCAGAGTACTTTACCACCAGTAATGCACAAACATGTACAATATGATTCTTCATAACCGATTTTTCTAGAATACTTTTTACATGTGGAACTCCATCTGTTCTGTAAGGATTCTATGAATATTGCACATTCTCTTCTGGTTTCACAAACTCATTTATACATATTTCTTAGTGAGACTCATTGTACATTGTATTGAAGCTAGAATCAAGAAAACTAAAGCCCCGTCTCCAACTGCGAAATGTGCTTTTCCATAATGAACAATAGTCACCAGCACAGAATAATCTCCAACATTTTCTAAATTCTAATTGCCAACTGTTTCTATTTATATTTGATTTATATTTCATTTGGAGTCTGTTACATGGCAGCTCGGGCAGACTAGATCTTGTTTTTTCCAATGCAGCATAATGAGTATGATCTATTTCTTTTCAAATAATCTTTGAGATCCCAGGAAAAAAAAAAGTGCTCTGCTCTGTTGAGCTACAATGTAAATGTGTTTGTTTAAAAAACAGATGAGGCAAGTGAGTGATTTATTGTTCCTGAGGAAGTATATCTTTTTTTTTTTTTCTTATACTTCAAAAGCTTGTCCCTTCTCTTTCTTAAGGAAAAAAAATGGGTAACTCTTTGTTTTTCACTTGCAAACTTTCATGACATGTGTTCATTCGTTCCGTGTAGTGTTACTAATGCAATACATATTATAGTTATCTATACACAGTGTAAGACTTAACAGGCTGAAATGATCCACCTCATATGTGAGTCCGTCCAAAAGATGTTACTGTTCTGGGTGGGCCAATGTTCTATATCAGTTACACTAACCTTCATTTAAAATATTTATTCTAAAATGCCTCTGAGAAATAGTAAAAAATAAACATAAAAAAGTTGTCTAAAATGCAACAGCTTTTATAGTAAATGTACATTTATAAATAAAATACTCAAATCAACTTTGTATTTCATTGATTTTTTTTGAGGGGTGGGGGGGCCAGTTTTCTTACTTGGGGAAGAGAGAATCAGGCTGTCTCTGTCTTGCAGCTTTTGGTCCAGAGTTACAGGGTCAGTTGATAGCAATGATGCGTATTTGCATATGTATATTGATGCATCTTGAGGTCAGCTATTTAAGGCAAATCAAACTTACCAGCTGACTGTAGGAGTCACCAAGGAATTGCCTGCCACTGAAGGATTCAAACTCCTTGAGATGAGAATCACAATGACCAGGAGAGACCATGCAAATACCAGAGGAAATTGTCTAAAACAACCAAATGATGGTTTACTTCCAGTACTGGCTAGAGAAAACCACGTCAAACCCTTTAAAGCCGCTGTATTCTGCCACTTTTTCCAGTGCTGACCCAATGCTCCCTCTCACTGTATACATACAGTCTGTTCACTGAGGACCTTTCTCTCCATTGTTGAATCTGGGAATATCCTTTGAAAAAGTGGCATCCTGCTGATACTGTATCAGCAAAATACACATGTATCTTGCCTGGCACTGTGTCTCAAATTTGTAGGTGGTCGCAATAGCAATCAAATTCCTTGAAAGTTTCCATCATTTTAAGACGCAATATTCTAATTGCTACTGCAAGTTGTATTCTGCTTCTTTTTTTGCAAAGTTTGGTATGCAGTTAGTAGTTGCTGCTGTTTCCATATAAAAGTGAATTCTTTGCCTTTTGTAAGAGAATTTTAGCAACTATTGGAGTAATTTAATATATCCATTGTTATTTAAGTGAAAGTTTATTCAACTACAATGCATTTCAAAACAAAGAAAAGATTGTTATTCTAACATGTTATCTATGAAGAATGTCTTTATTAAAAGAAGAACATTTTACCTGGGATAATGTTGAACTAGCTTTTCTTCCATTGACTTTCTTCAAGACCTAAGGACTCCTTTTTAAGGTCTGAATCTGGACCACAAAGGATCTCTCCCCATCCTTTGGCATTATCTAAGTCAGGGGTTACAAACTCAAATGACTGGAGGGACCAGCTAGGTATTGTAAATGAGGACCAGAAGAGGACAGTATTAAGAGAGTGGTATAGACTATGGCAAACTGAAAAAAACAGTTTTGTCTAACAAATGAACATATCTACGAAACAGAAACAGATTCACAGACGTAGAGAACAGACTTGTGGTTGCCAAGGAGCAGGAGGGGTGGGAGAGAGAAGGATTGGGAGTTTGGGATTAGCAGATGCAAACTATTATATATAGGATGGATAAACAACAAGGTCCTACTGGATAGCACAGGGAACTATATTTAGTATCCTGTGATAAACCGTAATGGAAAAGAATATATATGTATAACTGAGTCAATTTGCTGTGCAGCAGAAATTAACACAATACTGTAAATCAACTATACTTCAATAAAATTTTAAATAATAATAATAAACATTGGCACTGGTGCACAGCAAAAAAAAAAAAAAAAAAAAAAAGCAATCCTGTCTAAAGAAGGAGGCAGCTACCCATCTCTAACCAATTGTTTTCATACGAAATCCCCAGCTTTTTAAATATTGACAATTCAAAGCATTTTCCAGCACAGTGCCAACCAAAACTGTGAGGCTCCACAAAATACCCACAAGTCCAATTTTTTTCTCAGGCCACAACCTGTAACTAAATCTCTTTTCTATCAGCTGCTACTAACTTGCTGTGAGTCCTTTCATTTGACAAATACGTCAAGATTTGCCATCCAAATTTTTGCTTTTGGAGTGTCTTGGGTCATTCAGAGAAAGAAGCTGATAAAGCCATTAATCAGCAGGTGGTATCGCTACAATTCATGACACTTTTCAGCATTATTTTTGTATTGTCATCAAAAATTGCTCTTTCACAAGCACCCATGTTCAGCATTTTGCAGAACCATGCCCTTCCCCTTCCTTCTTTCTTCTGAATGACTCAAAAGGACAGAAAAGTGTGTAAATATACAAGGCAGAATCTTTTCTGAACTTGTTTAGCGCCATTTTATCAACTGTACTTTTGCAAGCATTGTTTTATTTGTCAAAAAGCATTTCTGGCACATGAGAAGATAAATGTATGCCTCCGCATTTTATAGATGATGAATAGAGGTATACGAGGAATAAGTGACTTATTCTGAATGAGTGTAAGATTTTACATAACTCTGTATTTCAACTGGCTCCAGCCAGGAGGGATTAGGTGAAGCTCACATTCAACTGTGCCTGGTCCTCATGTCTGGGACCCCACATGAGACCAACTAGAAGGACCCCTGAGCATAGCTGGACTTCGCAGGATTTAATCCGCACTCAAACGGAGACTAGAACACTCTTTTTATAGTAAACTTACACTTACAAAATACTCCAATAGACTTATCCCATTTTTACCCCTTTGGCGTGACCTTGGACACTTTGGTGTTTGCTGGAGAGGAGGCCGAGGAGTGTCTGCACACCATCCACACCTCTGGCCAGAGCCGCAGGGACCTCTCTCCCGACACACACCACCTGCAAAGCCTCCCTCGCCCAACCCCAAGTCTGGTCTCCAGAACTGGGGAATACCAGTTCTGCCTGATAGATAACCCAACTTTTGTGTTGCTAAACTGGTCCTCCACTTTCTCAAACTCAACAGCCAAGGCCTGAACAAAGGAAAGGTCCCTCTCTAACCGCTCTGTTGGGGAGAAGACACTGAGGGTCCAGCTCATTGATTCCTATAGTACAGTAGCATTTCACCACAAACGAATTCATTCATACAGGAATCAAGGCGTTTCACTTTTTCAGCAGGAATAATGACATTGTCCATGAAAGCCTGTTTTCCTCATGGTCCACCAAGGAGAGAGAGAATAATCATAACCTGTTGGTTTAGAAAATACCTTGGCTGGGGAGTTCCCCTACAGTCCAGTGGTTAAAATGTGACACTTTCATTGCTGTGGGCCCGGGTTCGATCCCTGGCCAGGGAATTAAGAGAAAAAAAAAAAAAAAGAAGAAGAAGAAGTAAAGAAAATACCTTGGCTGAAAGTGACTGAAGTATAACTATAGGAAGCCCCTGTCAAACATCATGTCAAGCGCTACACTCTCACTCTCAATGGTACAATATTAATGACTGTCCCAAGCTCTGACCTTGGAACATTCAACAGTTCCTCCTGAATTCATGAAAAGTTGTGATGAAAGTACTTCACGTTTTCTAACACTTTGAAAATTGAGAAGCTGCGCCTTGTTTATATACTAACACTCTGGGAAACAAGTGAAATATTTGATTAGAGAAATGGAGAATGCCTATTCTGAGATGATCCAAGAAAGTTTGAAAAGAACAAAGGAATTTGCCTTACCAAATGGTAAACTTTACTAGAAAGAGAACAATAAACAAAGTAGGTATCTTGGGCAAGAATGGATAAACTAATTATAATTAACACAACAAAGTATATGGCCCAGAAACAGACCCAAGTAAACATAAAAATGTTAGTGCATGATAATGATAACACAAATCAGTGGATAAAGGAGAGACAGTTGATTAATGTCATCTCTTTATCACAAAATTAATTCCAGATGAGTTAATTTTTGTCAAGTGTGAAAAACACAAACAGGAAAAGGAAGAAGTAGGATTTAAATATGCTTAAAAACATACTCAATAAAGAGAATTTTAAGCAAAATTTACAAGTAATAAGAAACTAGGGGAAATATTCCCAACAAACATGACAAAGGGTTAATATCCTTAACATATGAAGTCCTTTACAAATCAATAGAAAATGAGCAAAAGGACATAAAAAAGCTGACAAAAAAAATATAAATGGCCAATAAACATGAAAAAAAGTTCAGCCTTACTTGTGATCAAAGAAATGCAAATTTTTTTTTTTTTTTTTTTTTTTTTTTTTT